GTTTGGTTTTTCACACACAACATGCTAATTCTGCACATATTTCTTTTGTGTGTGAGGTTAAATATATGATGTATTAGTAGATGTATAATTAATAAACTATAAATAAATAGGCCTGTCTATTCTAATGGTAATAGAAAACAAATACAATTTCCAGGTTCAATCCGTCTTCCACCTCATGCAAGTGCTCTACCAATTAAGCTGACTTGACTTTAATCTCATTTTACACAATAAGTATTAATTGTATTACAATTTAAGCCTTACTCTTTTCACGTAGTCTATTTTATGGCAGACGGCATAATTTTTATTTTATAGGCTAGGCCTACTGTTTGCTTCTACCCACAGGACATTCTAATTCTGCTTACATTTCTTTTGTGTATGAGGTTAAATAATGTATTAATAATATATACCTAAACAGGCCTATAGTGCGACATTCTAAATTAAATCTTAACTAAAACTTACCAAAAAATGTTAACGATAAAATTACCGGTTCGGCTAGCAGACGATAGACGTTTATTTCAACAAAAAATTGTCGTTTCGCGCACTTTCACGTGAGGGAAGTGTGACCTGCGCAGTGATCGCGGCGAACAAGCAAGCAAACAAACAAAAATATTTCGAGTTTTATATATAGTTTAGTACATTTTCTCTCACAATGAAGTTTTCCATCAATATAATTGGGATGTAAAATTCAACCATTAAAACAAATCGTGAAAAAACAACAACACGTGATACAATCTATGCCCTCCCCGTAGCGGACTTACAACCCTATAAACCGGGTTTTGATACCCTTCTTGGGCAGAGCACAGATAGCCCATTGTGTAGCTTTGTGCTTAAATTCGAAAATAAATAACACAATATATATATATAACTTGTATAATAACATGTATTATAGTTAAGGTGGATCAAAAACACAAAATTCTAGAGAATTTTTGAATTAAATATTTATCAATATTTTAAACTTTAAGTAACAATTTTAGTATTATTACTTTTAGTACAGCAGCAACAGAGATAATTGTTTAATCATTATGTTTTTATTGTAGATACGCCCACATGGACAGGACAATTTATATTCAACCAAAAATGTTTAAGTGAGGCATTTTTGTCTAAGAAAAATTAAGAATTTTTGTTGTAATACAGATTGAGGATAATTCTTCTAATTATTTATTCTTATATCAACGTAGAAGCAGCAACTTTTGTGGGGAAAAACCTCAACCCCGGTTTAAGCT